AAGTGCAACGCAGACCTACAAGAAATACTGCTGTTCCCTCTCGTTTTGATGATTTTTTAATAACTGACCGTATCCCGAGCGCAAACAACAGTCGCACCAACTGTCAAATTTTTGTCGAGGGCTTAGATTTGCTGGATGCGGAATTCCTCCGAAGATTTTCTGAAGAAAACATCGCACTATGGGAAGCCATGCTGGCCTTATCGCCGTCGTCAGATAATTATCTTGACTATAATGCTCTCATACCCTTATTTGAGTACGCGGTGAATATTCCAGTGATAAGAGATTTCTATCAAAAAGAAAAATTATCACGCGAAGATTTAGAAGCTGAGTGCCGAATTTTTTCTCGTGTTTTTAAAGACAAAGAATGGCCCAAGAATGCAGCTGACAAAGTTGATTTGAGCGAGGTCGCTAACATTGTCATAAAGGAACACCAGAAGGGAGCTCCTGTACTATCTTCGTTGTACAAAGTAGCTATCACTGCTGGTTTCACATCAACGAGGGTTGAATGTGTTTTTTCATCCCTTACAAGAGTTGATTCCCCTCAGCGGAGGGCGATGAAAACAGAAAGAGAAGCAAATCTAGCTTATCTAAGTTTTGAAAGCGAAGTTCTGATAAATGACATTACCTTTGACGATTTTTACAAAGCTTGGAACTTGAACCCAAGAGCATTGTCGTTGTAATTTGACAGGTCGTGCATGTTTTGCATTATGATAGCACTTAACTGATTGATATTATCAATAAATGAGGCTATTGTATATTGTTATTATTGTCGTGTGTATTTTTTGTGAACACTTCACTTTCAACAGTTTGTTTTTACTTATTCCCAGTTTGCCATTATCTATACGGTCCCCTTGTTTTGGCAGAAGCTCAAACATTTTTATGATGTACAGTACCTACGTACAAGTGAGAGTCCCTCGAGATCGCACCACCCGTTCGGCAAAATTCCATTCCCACTTTATCGTTTCTGTTTGGGGAGTGCCCCCCCCAAACAATCAGAGCCAGCTCCGGGCCTGCTACTCTGGTTTAAATAAATGATCACAAAGCCCAGTCGAATTGTAATCAAGACCCAACGTTTCGACACTCCAGTCTAGTGTCTTCATCAGGGGTGATCTAAAGCCACGATCGCAGTTTTAGATCACCCCTGATGAAGACACTAGACTGGAGTGTCGAAACGTTGGGTCTTGATTACAATTCGACTGGGCTTTGTAATCATTTATTTAAACCAGAGTAGCGAGCGAAACATGAGTTTAAATATAGTTCCCAAAATCCCAAGATTTATAAATCGGTAGCCACTTACTTCATTTTTGTTTAAGTTAGGCATCTGTTTGTTACCCAAATTAATTTTCCGAGCTGATGCTGACACTGAAGTATCACATGTACTTTCGGCAGTCGATGGATTTTCAACGCTTGATGTTGTTGTTGAGGCACTTTCGCTCATTCGTGTACGCTTTTGTTTTGAATACTGATTTCCACAAAACTTACGCTTTTTTGAGAAACTACTACGATGTTTAGGCATTTTAGATCAACGTTTTCGCAATTTAAACAATTATGTTTGATTAGAAATTTCACACAGAATTCAAGATGGAAGCCAAAATCAAGACACCATTCCCTTGCATTTCGAGAGTATATACTTCATGTAATATATGTTGAAAGCTCCTACACACAGGTCTACTGAGGGGGGAGCGGGTCAGCAAAATTATTCATAAATTTTGGTGGACTTAAACCGACCATTTGCGTGAATTTCAGGACAACAAAAGCGTTGCTAAGGCGGTTGCTAAGTGGCAATTAAAGGAACAGGTTCCTTTTTCTCGATATTTATCCACCTTCCACAACTCATAGAAGGGAAATAACTTGCTACAATGGTAGAGCAGACAGCATAGATTCAAAATTTAGCTATTTTAAAAAAATGAATTTTTCCAAAAATGAAGGTATAAGACCACCATTTAAGTCGGACAGTTGTGATGAGGATTCCCCAACGGGGAGCTTAGTGTAAATTGATTAACAATTTAGGGGAGCCATGTAAGCGCCTCTGCCCATCGGCACTAGTGCCAGGCCCCTGGACAAAATATATGCCAAGGAAACGTTTTTATCGAAGAATATTTGTACTAGCTGTTGAGTTATAGTTTTACTTATTTATAACTTTTGGTTGTGCGATCTGGACACAAGCGGGAAGAAATCGGTAATATATATACTTTCTATACGATATTGACTTGCTATTTATCGCTTATAACTTATATTAATGCATGTTTTGTATTGTATTATATGTAGTTGACATCTTCTATCATCTATCGTTTGAACATTCTATGCGTGTGTGTGTGTTCTTTGCGTGATACTTGGTAGTTGCTAGTGAACAACAACTCCCTTGACGTGCCCAGATATATGCGTCCCTATAAAGTCGAAGTAGAACAAGGAATTGCGATTTAACGAGTGGGAGTTACAGTTAGGTATATGCAACCTCGTTGCCAGGGCTTTCATGTGAGGACGAGGGGGGAGACGAGAAAGCCCTGGTCTGGGCCGGTCACGTGACTACCCAAAAAATGGCAGTATTTGACGGCTACTCGTCAAGGGGTGGCGAGATATTCTTTAATGAAATATACACGTCTTCGAAACAAATAAACAGTCAAAACGCTTCTCAATCGATATTATTTATGTGTAGCGAAGTTTGGCACGAATCAGCTGAAATCGCTGAAGACCCCCGTCTATGGTTTCTAAGATATACCGATATTTCTGGAGATTTTCAACCACAGGCAAAGCTGCATCCAAGCTGCATCTAGGCGTCTCCATGCAAGTGGTGATTCACACGAAATTTGCTTTCTCTCGTCTTGAACAATATGGCTATTGCCTTTAATATTTAGTTTAAATATGCTCTTATAGATCTGACTTATAAGTTCGATATAAATAGACACAAATATAAAACCTCGCGTAGCCTGTTTACGCTGTACAGGAATATACGGATTCGCTTGTTTCGCCGCGGACACCAACACTTGCCGTTCAGGAGCAATGCTTGCCTACAAATTTTATCCCCTTCACAATTTTTGTTTTATTTTATCGTATAGTGGCAATTTTCAAGTATTCGGGGTATTCTGAAACTGTAAAACTCGGTGGCGTAACGAATCTTGTAGAGACTACATCGGCCTAGGCGTAGAGCTATTAAGCAAACAGGGCCTAAATTAATTTAGTAGTTTCGTTTAATTGTTTGTCTTGCTTTTATTTGTCAGTATAGAATATTGTAAATTAAAATATTACTACTATGATCAATGCAATACGCGTACTGCACTACATTATAAATACTGTCAAAGGAAAACTACGTTTCTTGTTTTGTCAGGAAACATCACAGCTCACATCGGCACGGCTTTTGAGTTTTGTAACCGGCCGAGGCGAAAGTAAATCATACAGTCGGGAAAACATCTTACTTTGAAAGATTATTTTGCAAAACATACTCGTACACACAAGAATCATAAAAATACAAATGTTGAATTGTTATTGTCAACTGTCAAGTTCAGTTATTTTTAGACAATATGGTGTTAGCCAATCAGAATGCAAAATTGACCGGCCCAGACCAGGGCTTTCTCGTCTCCCCCCTCGTCCTTACATGAAAGCCCTGGGAACGAGGTTGAGGTATATGTTAAAATTTTATTTCTATATAATTACCTGTGCGGTTTAAGAGCAGCATAAAGATTATTAGAACCGGACACAACCACTTGTTGTGTTCCCTAAACAAAAAATCATATAATAGGACCAAAATCGAAATATGCAATAATATGCGTAAGAATGCGTTGACGGTCAAAAAAGCTTGCATTCTGCAGTTCCTGCGCAGCTGTATATATACAGGGTGTATAAAAAATGAACAAATTTGAAATTGCTCCCAATTTCGCAAGACATCTATATTAGTATCCAGTTTATATAGCGTCTTTGGGTTAATGTAGAATAATGAAAACATTTCTGGAACTCAAGTTTTGTAAACCAGGGGTGTGTGTCTTTTCCAACAAACTAAAAATGCCTTGCGCACGAGATTTAAAAGCTTTAATCGTATTTTGAGTTAATGGGTGAAAAACGTGTTGGGTGTTTAATCGCTGCACGAAATTTCAGACAATTTTCTTCAGTTTAAGCCCTTTAACAATTCACGCAAACTTACATTTTTTTCCTAAAAAATCAGCCTTTTGCATTCTTAATTAATGCCTTCGCCTAATTTGCCTATTGCCGCAATATGCAAATTAGGTAAACGCATTAATTAAGCATACAAAAGGCTGATTTTTTAGGGAAAAATGAATAGTTGAAGGGATAAAACTAAAGAAAATTGTCTGAAATTTTGTACAGTAATTAAAAACCCAACAAATTTTCCATGCATTAACTCAAAATACGATTGAAGCTTTTCAATTTTTGAAGCCATTTTTAGTTTGTTGGAAAAGAAACACCCTCCTGGTTTACAAACTTTAGAGTTCGAGTATTTTTTTATTCATTATTCTACATTATGGGTACTCAACTGGGTATATATATATATATTACAAGAAAATACCTATAGAAACAAAGAAAAACTATTTACAAGAGTGCATGCCGAATACAGCTCATAAATTAGACACAATATCCACTTTGTATTTAATGGAACTTAATTTTTACCTCATACGGCTCCTCGTAAATGACATCCGTGTTGTAAGGAATCTTAATTCGATTTAATGGGGACCCAATTGCATGCTCATACGCATAGTTATACAATTCATCCGATTCATTTTCCCTAAAGAAGAATTTATCAACAAATTTGAAACAGTACTTGATCCTACGGTATATGTATACGTATTAGGAATGCACGATAAGACTTCAACAAGCTCTACTCATGCACACAAAGATTTACGGCCGTATACAGCGGGTGGGGTTGGGGACAACTGTCCCCTAGAGAAAACTATATTTACGAGTTTTAGAATGTCATTGTTACTTATTCTTTGGATATTCGGGACTTCTCTCGGCATACAGCCCATACTGCTCCCCCTTGTGAAAAAATCCTGCGTACGGCCCTGGCTAAAATATAATTCGGTAAAACAATTAAATATAGAGCGGGACAATTTCTTGTGCAACGAAAACATGGGACACTATAACCGTGTACATCCATGTAAAACCAATTACGCCAATAGATCAATAATTGCGTTTTTGCCTTTTATGTATCGAGGTGGAAAATGACGATAAGAATGCCACAACTCTTTATTCCGTGAATTATAACATTAAATTTCATTTTCTTTGACAGAAATTATTCCGTGTTTTTTAATAGTAAGTTTACCATTCTGTAGAATAGAATTCCTGCGGATCGGCCAAATGATCTAGTTCAACTTGCTAAAGAACAAAAGAACATGCATATTTAGTGTTATGGAAACATAACGTACACAGAAAATAATGCCTTCAAAGAACCTAGGCCCAAAACAGGGAAGCAGATATATTTTGTATTTTCAGGTAGTTAAGATTATTCAGCTAAGGTTGTGAAAATTGTTCGTCACTACCGATAAGGGAACCCAATATAATTTTTCATCTCTCTTACCTCAGCGTTGTTTCGTCCACTAGACCTTTCCCAAACAGACGAGGTTTCAAGTAGTCTTCAAAAAAGTGAGAAACATTTATGTCAGAGAGAATAAAACCTTCTTACAGTATAATTGATTTTCATATGAGGGGAATAAATTTTGTTAAAGAAACTAAATTTTGTCAAAACAAAGAAGAATATACGCAAATATTTTCTTTATGACGCCAAACATTTTTTATCCTGTTAATAAACTGATATACTACACAAAGATAAATTATTTGTTTTTGTTATTTTCTATCTGTTAATTAAGCCTATTTATTACATAATTGTTGCATAGGGGCAATGATTATTTTTAAAATAAATTCTGACTCTGATAATGGCACAATGCGCTCACTCGTGACATTTTCTTTATCGTCGCTCAAGCAATAAAACTGCTATCACCTCGCCCCGATTATGATAACCAATTATGCTAATGTTTCGCTATAGTACCGGGTGTCTCAAAAAAGGTATCGGTGTTTGATATAATGTAAAAACTATACCAGGTGTGGCTTTCACATAAGTTTATAGTATTAAGAAAATGCTAACCTAAATTTTGGTATACAGTGCTAGATTTTTCATTTCATATTGGGCGAGATATAAATGTTTTTAGCCAAACGGTTCGGTTTGAAAATTGGCGAAAAAATCGACTAAAACGGCTTATTAAATTTCTTGGAAGACATTTGCTATTTTTTCGGGAGTATTAAAAATTTTAAAGAAGTTAGCTTCAATCTTGTATTATTTTATGGTTTACATAAAATATTTTGACCTTTGGGCCTTGTGGGAAATGAAAAATTCGAATGCCAAAGTTCGAATTGAAGCAACAAATCTGGAACGTCCCGCATGAGCAGCAGCCTAGGAATTTGAGACAGCTCCGCCAGGCAGTTATATCTTAGCGTGCCAAAATTTAGATGCACAAATGATACAAAGCGCTTTTTCTGACATGGTTAACAGAGCACGACGTTGTATAGGTGTTCAAGGACATGCTTTTTCAGATGAATAAATCATCGAATGTGTAAATATTATTTATCGTGCGTTGTGTTGACAAGAACAGCATTAAATTAAATGTTAATTTGATAGGCCGATTTAATGTAATTTTAAGCATTTTCAAAATTGCTTCCTCGAAATGAAACTGTAGTATTTCATTCAATATTGCTCAAATATCTTCAAGTCATATATCAAAATTTAAGTTATAGGCCTTTCTGAATTCACTGAAGTCTATTTGATTGAAACTCCTTGTCCAGTTTTAACGGTATAACAAATCAAACACCGATACTTTTTTTTGAGACACCCGGTATACTAATAGCCAACTTTGAAATTGTCATATCAACTCAATTGCTAACCAAATATGAAATTTTCACATAATGTTCAATGGAGTGACGTCATAAAATTGAATGTGAATACGAAATGTGAATACGAAACACGACCAAAACAATATGGAACCGCCTTCGGCTGTGTTTGCATTTCTTAAATCTCAGGTGCATAAAGTGATATTAATGTAAACATCGACATGATGATTGTGAACCTATACTAATTTAATTTAATATATACTGTTAACTTCACACACGTTAAAGTGTTTTAGATGCAGGCGAAGCTTGCGCGAAGGCATACTAAACGTTCTGTGCAGGATGGTCTGCATGGTGTCGCGCGGGTATTGACATATCAAGTTGCGCGTTTTACTGTAGTTTACTAGAAATACCTGCATGCAACAACCCCTCGCCCACATTTTCCAAACATTGTTTCAACATGTAGTACTTTAATAACGCCAACAAAGAACGCAGGTTCGCGGTGCTCGCTTCATGTTAGGCATGGCAACACGATAATTGTTTTCTTAATCTTTTGTTCAAAATGGGCAAAAATAAATGAATGTTTTACACTTTTAGAGTGCCGTATGAAGCGGGTTTTTTTTTGGGGGGGGGGGGGGGAGCTGAAAATGAGGGCCGAAAGGCCGAGTCGAACGCCGCAGGCGCGAGACTATAGGAAATTTTTTTATGAAATTTAGAGTCTTGAAATGCCATTTTCTGGACTTTGGGCAAGATTTGACAGAATTCTGATGCTCAGAAAACAGCGTTATAGTATGTCGAAATTTACAATAATTTGTTTAGAATTTAGTAGTACTAAATGGGCGAAGGGGTATTTAATTA